CTTTCGATACCTTAAGTTTTTTATTTCATTTTGGTTGTTTATCAACGCTTTGGTGAGTGCTGGATGAAAACATTAGTTCAGTCTGTGTCAATTCTAATTTGACATATAGAGCTAAATAAGTCAGCGACTGTTTAAATGATGAATTGAGTGTATTGGAAGGCTGATGATTTTGATATGATGTCTGAATAATTTTGATCATCTCGTTGTCTACTAACAGTGACGATATATAACCGTTATTTGAGCAAATGCTATTGAAAAGAATAGTTTTTCTAATTTTGATCTAACAGTTTTCAGTACGAGGCTCCTTTAGATTTAGTTATTATAATATTTATTTTCGTTATCATGTTCAAAAAAAAAACATATGATCAACTTCTTCAAGCAATGATCAAGAATCTGATTTATTCGATCAAATTTGAACAAAAACTTGTCTGTTAGACATTAAGATATATATGATTTATTTTATTAATGATACCATTTCAATTAAGAGTGAAATAAGAACAAAGATAAGCAAACAAATAAGAAAATAAGAACTGTACTATCTGCGCAAATGAATAATAGGCAAACACAACCAAAAAAAAATAATAATGAAGTTGAGAATCGATATAAATTCAATTTATGATTGACAATGATATATACAAATAAGAAGTGGAATCAATTTTGAACTGTCAGTGGTGCAGACTACAAATAAAAAAATAGAAACAAATCAAATTCAATTATAGAATGAAGATTTTCGTTCGTTCGTTCATACTGGTAAAATGCCTAGACGATGTCGATTTCGTATAAGAAAAGGATTTTCAAGATAAACATTAACATTACTTTGTGGTTTAAGTCCAATAATATCCTAAATGTGATGATATATTATTTAATGAAAGAATATATAATTTACCTTATCAGTGCAATATCGCACACCAATCATTATTTGACCAAAAACATGTCCATGTTTTCTCAGAGCACGTTGAGCTTGAAGACGAGTTGCAAATTTAACATGAAATATATTCGATGTATCAACGATCTGAATCGATAAATAGTAAATAAAACAGGAACAAACTACTCATACCACATATTTTTCTATTATTCCAAAACGACTAAATTCGTCGATCAATGTTCGAGCATCAGTATTCGTACGATAGCCAAATACAGTCAACCATGTTCCGTCATTTCCACTTTCATTAGCTAGACTATACATTTAACAACAACAAAATAAAAAAAAATCAGCACAATTTTTATTAAAATTTAAGATCTAGAATCGATTTATTACAAACAGAACAAAATCAGATAAAAAGAAAAAGATCATAAGATAATTGCTTCGAAGAAAAAATAAATCTTTCATGTTGATTATTTCTTATAAATTTCTAAAGTTCTTACTTTGTTCGTTGAGTTGCCTGAATAAAAGTAAAGTTATCATTTGTAACATTAGAATTGCCTATTGGTTGGTCCATCCCAGCTGTTTGTGTCATTAATCCAAAATCATATGAAGAACTAGTATTACCAAAGAGTAAATTTGATGTTATTCGACGACTGTTTTCCATTTCATCAAACCCACTAATATTACCAGTACGTCCTCCGATATTTCCTTGTCGAAATAAAATCGATGATTGATGTTCATCAACTAAAATAGAAAACAAACTATCATTTATTTATTTAAACTACCTGAGAAAAACCATACTCGATAGATCATTATTATTATCAACAAGAAAACGAACACGTTTTTGTTGTCCAGGTGATAAAGGGCTTGGTGGAGACTTCCTATCAAACAAAGGGATTATTTATATTATTTCTTATCTCTTGCTTGTGTGAAATAACTTACGGTTCATCAAACGTATGTTTGCTCATCAATGAAACAAATGGTGAAGTCTAAAAAGAAAAAACACTCGTGTCCTACATTAAAAACAAGTCATATTAAGTTATATACCTTCAAACCATCACGAAAAAACGTTGATGAATGCATCTAAAAAGAACAAAAAAACAACATTACTAAATTATGTGAGATTTTAGAAATGAAATATATGATAATGTTTTTTTCGTAGGACACAAAATCACAAATAGCAAGAATTTTCCTGTTCTTTTTCAATTTATAGATCATGATCTTTCCAAATTGTATAATAAATAATCTTTATTTTAAATATAAAATGCTGAAATCTGTTTTTGCAGATTCAATTTTGATTTAAGATAATTATCGAAAATGAAATCCTTCTTATATACATTCATTTGTCTGATATAGTAGCAATCTGAACACTGATCCATCGTGTTGATAGTAATTTCGAAATGTTTAAGTAGTACAACATTTAAATAAAGTACTATTTAATTAAACTAATTTAATGTCCAATCTAGATTTTAAATTTGAGTTTTCTTTGTATACACGAAACGATGTTGCTCATCGTTGAATAAACATAAAGATTCTGATTGTTCAGATAGAATATGAAAAAGTTCTTCAAAGAAAGCTTAATGACATGATCATGAAAATGAAAATATAATATCACTTCTAAATAGATGAAGACTTGTACGTTGAAAAATTAATAACTAATTAAAATGAACAAGTCCATGTGTACATGAACATGATAAAATATAATAATGTATAATAATCATATTGATATGTCAATTAATAGCTTATACTTATCACCATAATGGGTTTCAATACGTTCATTTATATATGTAATAAGGTCATAAATACGTTAATTGAATTGATCCAAATCAATTGAATCGATATGAAATACTATTAGTAAAACTAGAGATTGTTAATGTATTAGATACATATCATAAATATGTCTTGAAAACGATAAATACTAATGACTTGTCATTTATGATATTGATAATGTGATATCTTTTTTCTATAATAAACAAAAAAACAAACTTGAAGACCGTTGTCAACATCACTTTGACGAATACATGGAGAAATTGATTGCTGTTATAGAATGCAAATCATTATTCAAAATCTAGAAATAGATAGCGAATTAATTTTCAATTAAATTATATTAGATTCTTTATTGTACAAAAATCTATTGACAATTTCGAAAGGAAATAATACCTTTTCGTCATTGCAATATTTTTTAAATAAACATCAATAGTTTAGAGTTTAACTAAGAACTATTCATCCGTTGACATAAAATTTCAACACTTTCACATCAATGTATATAGATTTGAGTTTCAATTACATAATGTTTAAATCAAAAATATAATAAAGAAAAATTTTTCATGAAACTTAAGTTGAACAAAAATCTTTCAAAACAACAAACTTCAAATAAAAAATGATCATAAATATTCTGTGTGTTCTAGAATACATATGAGTACTTGTTAGGTTTTTAGATTTGTATAAAAAGCTGTTATTTAAAAATTATTTATCTAACTCTAATTCTAACATAGACGTCATTGAAAGATGATTGAATCATCACCAGACGAAAGATTAAGTAACAAAGAGACCGTTTCGTACTCTACGTCTGTTTTTCATACTGTTGTGCTACTTTTTCATGAAGAGTTTCGCAAGACACGTAAAAACCTCGACCGCGTTGCAACGAAATATGAACATCTCGACATTTTGGACACAATCCATCATAGCCTGTTAATGGCATTTCACATTCCAAAGCATAGAGATTTTTGCCTCGGCAAAATACTTTTCCTTTAACTAAACATTTCCGACGACCAAATTGAACATAAGTATTAATGAGATTAAATTTATCAATGATGTCCTCAAATGAACTTTGCATCTGTTCATTTGTCATTAGTTTATTCACTTGATTTTCTATAAATTCAATCTTGTTCTTCAATTGTTTGACTTGATCAGAAGATGCTTCACCTTCATTAATAAGTTCCTTTATATTTTCTATAGTTTGTGATACTTCTTGTTCTTGTTTTATTATTTTTCTATTGAATTCTTGTATTTTTTTATTATACTCTTGGTCAATTTCTGCATATTTCTTATCACGCCACGCTTTCAGCACAGCTAAAGGACCACTTTGATTTTCTTTAGTCTGTAATCTCATCTTAACTAAAATATAAAAAAATTTTTTCGAATATCATAAAAATACGACTTATACGTTGGTTGAGACGATCAGTGAGTGGTAACAATTCATTATTGATTTGTGTTTGATGTTCATTAAAATGTCTGGAACATACATTGTTTTCACAGTGATGGCACAAGCATGTTGCAGCTCTCTTACAATCATTGACTGAACATGCTTCTCTTGATGCCATCGAATAGTCTGAAAAATGGGTCAAAGAAAAACATATAAAATAAAGTATTTATCCATATCTTTGACATGACAAGCTTCCAAGTAACAAATCAAAGACTGAATACTATTAGCTGGCTGCATTTGATTGTATCAATTCTTTTTATTCTTTAGTATTGTAAATTAGCTGAAAGAAATGGAAAAAATTGATAAAAATTCGAAACCTCTTCTCAGTCTATGGAAATTATTCTATCTCGAAGGACAAAACATACAGCATTTTATATAGTACTTTTTTGAATGATCTTCGGATTGACATATACGAAAATGATTCTATTATAAAGTAAATCAAAAACATTCATTAAAATAATTTTCGCCAATGGCAATGATTGATAATGCAAGATCGCCTTAGGTCATATATTTATACCAAAATCAATGAGTTTAATATCTTAAAAATTCGTAAGTCAAATTTTAAACCAAGAAAACGAGATAAACTTCGGCAAGTGTTTTTTTCTGAATAGCTTCTAAGACTAAAAGGATTACTTTTGTTTTAAAAATAATTCAGTAAAATACTATAAGTTCCTTATTTCCAAAGTATATAGCAATATAAGTGTTGCGGTCGTTCGTTTAATAACATAATTCTATATTCTTCTATAATTGGCGAAGAAAAACTCTCACTTTTGTGTTGATAAGAACAACTATGAATTTATCCCCTTGTAAAGTTATTGAATATGAGACATGACAAAAGTAAACTATGGATGTTACTTTTGCAATAGCATATGAGAAAAAGATGGAATATTTTTTGATACAGTAACTGGTAATTAATAAAAGTTCACCATCAAAAAAGATTTAAAAGTGATCATCAGTGGATTTATCATTATAATAGAAGAAAAATATATAATCCAATGATAACAGATAAAGAAGTATAATGTTGTTCATTGAAAACTTCATGTTAGTATTTCACATTTAGTAATGGTACTAAATATTGATATTATCACATTTTCAATTTCTTGTATTCTAATTTTCAATAGAAAATTAGGAACAGAAGTCATTTGAAATGTACAATTGAACACTCAGCTGTTGTTTTCATTTTCTTTTTTTTTTATTTGTTACTGTCTTCTCCAATAATAAAACTCCTTAGATTTAAATCAGCATTTAGTATATTAAAAATCTTAATCGAAAAGATACTTTTTAAAACAATTAGTAAAAGATTTTTATCATTTATCATCGTATATAATCAACTGTCTCGTTAATGTCGCTAGTAGTTAAAAGCAGTATGTCTAGATTCTCAAAATTGTTTGACAGGAAAAGAAACGTTCTCTCAATGTAACTGTATGGACAAAAAAATATAAATTACACAACGTTTAATTTTCTAAACTCTTGATGCATAGTATTTCTTATTCAAAGACGTCAGGAATATCTATACTAGATGGAAATTTTCAGCAGTGATCGAATTTCGGTAGTTCTGAACTCTTGAAACAATCAAATATGCAACTCCACTCACGGAACTCACGAAAGAATGTGATTGTGGCTTTTGGTTTTACTTCTTCTTATACCCATAACTATATTCTAGATTTGAATATCTACGAAAAAGATAATACTCTATATTAGTCATCTGTCGTAATATTTCTGGTGTTCTGAATTTCTGGTTGTACGATACTATTATCGTTGTTTAAAACTTGTGATTTAATGAAGCATGATTATGTCCATTTCTTTTGAATGACCAGGCTGAACTGTTACCTCAATTTCAATAAATTCTTAAGTTCTGGGAACTACTTTAGTTGCTTAAATTCCGAAGATTTCGTGAGTGAAGTTGATATATTGAGAACTCCATGAGTTCAGAACTCACGAAGTCTGGACACGCCTTTTTGACAAAATATATGAATTCAGTTTCGCATATTCTTTAGTCTATAATTTGTCATGATAACCTTTAATATGAAATTCTTCTATACAATTTTCTCGAGAATCGAACATGAAATCTTTCGATATTAAACTTGAACGGTAACAAAACTATCAGCATAATATTGAAATCTTCATTTTTCCTGGAACACCCATTATTATCTAATTTATTACGATTTTTTTTCTGTTATTAAATCAATGCTATCAAAGAAGAAAGAAAGTTATGAAAGAGTCCTAGAAATTTACAAATCCAAAAAAAAGACAGTTTTAAATCTCTTTAATGTAATGAGATAGTAATTTACATGTTGATAAGCGTCTTTTCTTCGTTTCAACAATTATTCGTTTCATGTTTTATTCTTCATAAGTGGGCAATGCTCATCAATCAACAATTGCTATTAGTGATGTATAATTAAATCAAATAGCTTATGTATTCCAACATATTTTCAAGTCGATCTCTCATAATTATTGTTCATAACTATAACAATATACTTTAAAAAAAGCATATTTTTATATTTATTAGAATTCGAAACTCATAAATATTCAATAAAAGACTAAGCAGAATAACTCGAATACCACTATTTCTATGTGAGAAATTATTTGTACAGATGTTTTATTCATATTCACGAAATAAATATTCTTCCCAATTTTATACCATATAATTTATATTAAAGAACACTAAAACAACAACAAATCAAACGAAACAGTCGATTAGAAAGAATAATACATTAAAACATGATAAAAATAATGCTGACTTTTGTCTTAATGAAATATAATAATAAACATGGAATAGAAACAAAGAACAAAAAAAAAAGATCTTGAGATTGCACTGTAATATTGATTATTGACCTATATTTAGCAGATCAACATCTTCTACTGTTTTTGGTTGATTAGAAGCGCTCTCTTGTTGATCATCATTGAATAGATCATTACCATTTGCTTCATCATTCTCATTATCAATATCATCAGCATCATCATTTCCTAATCCACGAAGTGTTGGTATTGTAAGATCAACTTCAATTGGAAATATGTCAGCTTCTTTCATTACATCGTTACAATCTTTATGATATTTATCCAAAGCAGTAATAAAACGATGCAATTGAAAAACTATATCTTGTACTATTAGACAAGAAAAACCAAGAAATAAACAAAAAACAAAATATTTTTAACAAAAACAAACCATGTTTTTGATCAAGTAATTCTAATTTAACAAGAACATCTGCACGCATCTTTGCAAAACGTTCACGAGCTAATTGACGACATCGAAGAATTAATCTACACAAAGATATTAAGTCTTTATCTGTAACAAAAAAGTAACAAATTAAATAAATACCGATATTCATAATTTCCTGTTTCAACACGATAAAGTGGTTCTTGAAGTGCTGCATAACTACATTCTTCATCATCCATTTCTTTTACTTTCAGGCAATAGGACTAAATAAATAATAAAATTCTTCGGCATCTCTCGCTTTGCTCACGAAGAAGTCGCTCGAACTTTTTCTTCAATCACGACTATGTATTAAAAGTAGAAGTTATAATAAGATAATTAACAAAAAACATAGATGATGAGATGTCAGTAAGACTTTTTTTCGATAGATAAGTCTTATTAGGCTTGAAATATTCTTATAACTTCTATCTATATTGATCATAACTGCAAAAAAGGAATAGATACGAATGCAAATGTTTTAAAGGATTTTTTTTTTAATATCAACGAAAATCATTCTAGCAGAAAATATGGGAATTTAACTCGTGCAAATTGTTAGAGTTTTTCTCTTTTATGGTCAATATAAAATCCTACCAAATATTCAAATTTAGCATCAGCATATTTTTCAATAGTTAATTTTGTATCAGGAATAGCTTTTGTCAAATATGTGTTCAAATCAGCAATCATCTGAAATAGATTACATAGTAAAAGAAAACTTTGTTTTTTTTTTAATGCATACTGGTTTCACAGTTCGAAGTAATGTAATAGCATGTCGATCGATTTGTCGATGAGCTTCACCAAATTTTGTAAAAGCTTCTGATGCTTTAAATTGAGGTTCACGTGCACCAATATTAGCAAATGCATCACCAAAATTACGGTGTGTATGAGCTAATTCAAATATAGCTTTAAGTACAGAACGTGTATGTTCGATTAAACCACGATATAGTTCTGATGTACGCTCAAGTTCATCTAACTTCTTAATAAGACCATCTTAAACAAAAAAAAATGAATAGACTTTTATACATAGGTTTGATTTTCTTTATCACCATTGCATAGAATAGCACGACTAAGACCAAGTGCATCAGCAGTTGTTGAACTCATTGTTTCAACAATACGATGTTTCATTTTTTTAAGTACTAAATAAATGAAAAATATTGATAAATATTTTAATCGTAAATTATTTTTAACAAACCAATGTCTAATGTTTTGCCTTCTTTTGGTTGTGCATGTAATTTATTATAATGTATTGTTACTTCCGACTATCTAAATTGAATAAAATTCAAGTAATAATTAAACAAAATATTTACTTTAGATGCTTGTATAAGTTTAGCAACTTCAACTTTTGTTCGTCCTTTTACTGATTTTCCATTGACTGAAACGATTTCATCACCTATTATAATAAATAATTAATAATTCTTTAATAAGCTAATTAAGTTTTTTACCTGCAGCCAAAGAACCATCTTTCGATGCAGCCGTATTATCAAAAATTTGAACTATATATAAACATGGACAAAGTGGAGCTCCACCACCAATACTAATTCCAACTAAATTTTGAGTATCTTTTTTCAGAGTACATGTTCCCGATGTTAATGTCATACCACTAGAATATACAATGAGTTAAATATATGAAAAATTTCGACTTTATTACAAACATACAGTGTATCTTCTTCTAAATCGCCGTAATCCATCATAGTTTATTCAATCTTCTAAATTTTGAACTGTTCTGAAAGGTGATGGATGGAACAAAATTACATCAAGGAAAAATAAATAGTAATCAACATAAAATATACAGCTTTATACTATTTGCTTTCGTATTGGGTCCAAGAATGATGAAAGATGTCGCTTATTAACGACAATAGTTCTGCTTTTCTGATAAGAATAAATAGTAAATACATTACGATTCAGTCTTCATCAGATTTTTGAAAGAAAACTTCATTCAATTGTATATAGTGAGTTAGAGTTTTGACTAATTTCGATTTCGATTATTTAAAATAAAAAGAAACGGAACTATTATCCATTTAGAATCAGTATACAATTGATTGTTTCTATGAAAAACTATTAGTCTCACACAAGGTGAAGACTTTTGGCTTCAAAGTAATTTGATGATCAGCTCAATCAATTTAGATTATGACTATCATTAAAATCAAAAAATCTTTCTTAGTCTTGACAATTGAGCTATTACAAGTGTAATCTATGTATTCTATTTTGATTTAATCTTGCACCACGTAGCACTTATTCACAAGAGTTGATGTTGTGTCAACGACGAGAATAACTGAAACAGGTTCTAATTATGATACTACTACAATTATATTTAGGTGTAGTCATTCCAGTGTGGAAATACAGTGTAGATCAACATGATGTAGTCATCCTAAATGACAGAAAAATTGAATTATAGTTAATTTAATTCTTTTTTTGTTTTTTTTTTCGCAGTTATGTTGTTATTGTATTTGTATTAAGCTAGAAACCTACTTACCGCGGGTTTCTTTTGAAAAATGATTCATGCCGGTGAAGTAACATGTGATTGAATACTTGCAAAGATAGCTATTTTCAGATTGAAATGAGGTTCATAAATTTATTGCTTATTGCAAACTATACGTAATAATCGAAAATTGTCACAATCCGATGTTTTATTATTCCAAATGAATAATATCTATGAATAGGTCACAACTGACTCAACAAAGGGTAAAGGGTTAACATAGGTCTAAAGCAAAATGTTTTCTTATTTCTTATAATGATACAAATAATATTGAGATTTTCTTCAAGTCAATTTAATCGAGTTTTGATTCAATACACAACAATGCGGTCGACAGCCGGTGTATAATCATTTGAATTATAAATACGAATTGAATTAAATCCTTGACATAGATTAAGTGCAATAGGTAATGAAGCAATATTTTGATTTGGCAACATCATCGGAAATGTAACATTAATTGAAGGATATAAATCATTTACCATTATTTCAGCAGATCGTATACGATCAGTTACATAATAAATAATAACTATTGTTGAACCTCCATGTTGACTAATAATTTGTTGAAAAATAAGTTCATTATTAAAACCAATATTACCAACGTTTTGTGCTCCTGAACAAACTGAACATAATTGAATTGTTGTCGAAATAAACGTATTCAATGATGATTCAGCTTCATAATTGATAGCCATAAGTATTGATGATACTGGCATGGATGAAGGAACGTTTACAATACAGGGCATAAGTATTGTTGATTCGGTATATGACCATGTAGAACCTATGATGAAAACAAACTAGATGTAGAATAGATATTCTATTAGTGATTGTGTTTTTACTTGAAAGAGATTTACTTATTGAAGTATCCATTTCTTCTATGAATAATGTTCGAACTATTAAGAAGATAATAAATAAATGTCACATCAAAATTTTTTTCATCACTTACAAGTGTCAATTGGTAATTCTAAACGATAAAATGTTTTTGAAAAAATTGATTCTTTCATATTCTTTTGACATCTCTTAGCACATTCCAATGCATAACGCAGCATCAATGACATAGTTAATTGTGGTGGCGTAGAATTACTTTTTATACTACTATCTGGTTGAGTTAAAACAATAACTTTATCATTAACACTGTCAAGAGAAGCAGACGAATTTGCCTGTTAAAGAAAAAAGTTTCAAACATATGAAATACTATTCAATGTTGTTTTTGTACTAAGAAACTGCTTGATGATGTATTTTGAGAGGTAATAAAAGCTTCCATTATAACGATACTCGTTTTTCTTGTTACTTTCTTGCTATTAAGTTCATCTTGAAGCTAAAAAAACAGAAAAAAGGAGTATTAATATGCGTACTTATAGAATACAAGTATGAAGACCAAATTTTGAAGAATCCATAATTTGTCTGATTCTAAATCATCTGTTACATACGTCCAATTCATTGTTAATATAGATAATCGATCTGGTAGATTATAAACCAGAGTGAGAACATCACTTTGAACTTTATTACAGAGAAAAAAAGAGTTAAATGTTTTTTTTTTGTGTTTCTTTCTAATAAAATATACCTTGATATTTTGTTTGATTTCCTTTAGCTGAAGTAAATATTGGTAGAAATGTCAAAAGAAACAATGCTGCAACAATGATCAGAATGAGCATTGTGCAACAAATGGACAAGAAGATGATTGGATTTAATCGACGTAATCTATGAAAAAGCATTGTTCTAATTATAATATATTGAAATAAAACTACTTACACTCCATGCTTGATTGGTGTTCCTCCTTCAGTATATTCAGCAGGTAAAACAGCTTTTAGTGGCATTGTTTTTACTGGTGAAATTTTTTTTTTCAAAATATTTGTACCAATAAATTCTTAAGATGAGACACTAAAAATTTGTAACGAGTAAATAGTAAAATGGACTTTTAAATAGTATGTACGCGATAAAAATTAAATATAAAAAGTAATACTAAACTAGTGAAGACATTGTCTACTCTTTTGATTCGATGTCTCCAATTTCTTTCTTCAAGTTTTTGATAGCACGCAATATATTCATCATCAAAGAAACTTAAGCTCGTCGCCTACATTCATGTAGAATTATTGATTTCAAATCACTCTCTTGTTTTTTTATTATTATTACAAGTAGAATTCTTTTTTCTTTTTCATTTCCAATATATCGTTTCTAATTACAGTGCACATGTAATAAAATACATTTTGATAAGAAAACCAACTAAATAATACAAATTATATCTAGTTCATTTTTTTAAGCTATTGCATAAAACGATGATATAGAAGAGCAAGCAATGAATTATTAAAATATAAATTTTCTATATCGCTCAATGCGTATATATTATATTCTACTAAATAACATAATAAAGACTCCTCGTGATTCATCCTTATAAAATTTATCATGTGTCATTATTTCGCAATTCATCTTTTTCCAAATTTACGCATTTTTTAGTTCATTCACATTTCATCCTTAATCTATTTTGAAATAGAAAAAATTTTTCTTAGTAGTATTACTTTGATAACATAAGATTTATTTATCAACTTGTACATTAATTGATATTCTTACAATTATTCTTTCAAAATTCTTATCTTTTTTTTTGATTATGAGTTCAAGTTCCTTTCGAGACATTTTAGTTGACAATCGTATAATGCTATTGATATTTGATTAATTATTATTGAACTATTCTATTGATGGGAAAGACATCAAGAGTTAGCCTTCTTGATTTACCTATGTTTTCTTTTGACCAAATGTTCGTTCTGCTTAGCGTCTGTTGTTTTGTGCTTGTGAGGAATCCGTAAACTATAATGCAGTTGATTTATCGTAAAACTTCTAAAAAAGTTTTTTACTGGAAATTATATTGATGAAAAATGATTTTTAAGGACACATATATCCAATCTAAGTTTTATAGTACTTTGTTTGAATTTGATACTTACAAATTGTTGAAAAATTCAAGATTTTGCTAGTTTCCGATAGATTTCCATGCTATATTGAGTTACCATTGTTCTTCTTTTCCCTCGAATAAATCGGACTGCGTGTTGTTGGTCAATCTCTGTCATTTTTGTAGTTCCTTTTTTGTGTACAATTTAGAAAAGCATATTTGATACATTCTTAAACGGTCTAATACATAATACTCAATAGACTAGTTTCCATATTTTGATTTTTTTTGTGTATAAAGAGTTTAAAAAAAATGCTAAAAGTACAGGTTATTGTGCAGTTCTCTGAGCGCTATCCAATCATATAAAAATTAAAGAAAAAAATTGCTCAGATTTTGAATTTTCGGAAGTTTACAAACTTTTAAGTTTGCAAAAAATGTCAGCAAAATAAATATTCAATAAACAGAAGCAAGAGTTATCGGTTATTTTTATGAAGATTTGATCATCTTCATAGAACTAACAGATACTTCGAGACAGTTGATAGACAGAGACATGATATTCCTAATCTGTAAATCTTTGATAGACAAGTGCACACCATTCATGATTATCTAGTTATATTAATCTTTGTATGTCCATTAAGAGCATTTTTAGAAAAAGTATTTTTTTTATTTGATAATTGTTCACATTTTTTTTTAACAGTCCTGTATTTGATTCATATTATGCAATTAATATGGATTAATCATTATTAAGTGGAGATATTGTCTTACATAATTACAATAGTAACTTTTTCTAAATTAAATGTTCATAAAACAATAGACTTATTTATCTATATATGTTCGAAATACAGACGTATCTCAATGATTTCTCATTTGCACTATTAGTTCTTGACAATTATTTTTATATAAAGATCAAATGTTTGTTGAAAAAAAGCAATTTAGTTTTCATATTTGTGTCATAATTATTCAAAATCTTCGCCAATAGCTGTCAATCAAACCTACGGATGTATAAACATGAAAAGAGTGCACAAAATACTTTCACTTTCTTCGTATATCTTTTTGAATAATTCTTTTGCTTTAAATGTATATTTTTTCCTAATATTTTCTATTTATTTTTCAAATAACTAAAATAATAATAAAAATATTTAATTAAAATGCAGAACAAAAGCACCATAATACATAGTACAAAAGGAAAAAAAAATGTTCATTGATTACAATGACTCTTCATACTACTAATAGACTCTTTTTGTTGTTTCAGTATCTAAAATAAGAACTAAAACTTCCTTTCGTATTGAATTTAATCCTTTGCATGTGTTATTAATAATTATGTCTAATTCTTCGAAAAGATAAGTCAATGCTAAATTGTATTTCATTTTCTGTTGCATTTGTTATTGAAGAAAGGATTGAAGAAAGATTGTTCTTCAATAATATTAAAGATTCTATAAATGAAAGTTCATTTAGACTTTATTCATATCATTTTTTCTCGATAAAGCTCTAAAATAACATGTCAAACATATCTGTCATAGAATTATTTTTAGTCTTGGAAATATAGGATCGATTCTGAATATTTTAATTCTTACTCAACGAGTGTATCTTCAAAATTCATGTTCCTGTTACATTCTTGCCTCATCAAGCATGAATTTGCTTATTATTAATATTGTTATTCTTTTGCATCTGTTATCATTTGATTTTGGTATTGATCCAACAACAACATCGTTATTTTTCTGCAGATTTCGACAATATATTTCTCATGTTACCACATTATTATTAAGAATTTATATTGTATTAGCATGTATAGATCGAGGGACAATATGATGTCGGCCAGTGTTCGACGTCGTGCTTTTAGTAAAGTAAAAATTGCTAAAATATTAATATCTTCAGTGGGTATCGCCTGGTATATTGTTTCTCTTCATATTCCATGGTATCACTATATTCTTAATGGTAAGTTTAGAATATTGTTAATCAAGATTGATTTATAAAAATCATTCGTCATATTGATAGGTTTTAATGGCATCATTTTAGTAATTTAAACATTCTTTGATTCTGCTATGAATTTATTAGACATTTGTAGATTTCCATAAGAGTACATTTCTCTTTAAAGTTTTATTTAAAAACTATTTTTGATTTCCGTTTTTACGACGCATTTGATTCGTTGCTTTGAGGTTATAGGTCAATGTATGATAGTACTGAACATATATTTGATGTTTTACAATATTTACAATACAATTTTATCTGGTCTTTTGACACAGAATTTAATGATTGTCTTTGGTTTTTTAACTATTCTAAATGTAAAATTTATTCGACAACGTGTTAATATTAGATTCAATACGAATCGAATACTTGTCAATCGACAAATAAACAGATTTTATAGAAAATCTAGAGAGTTTGAAATGTTAGTGATGATACTTGTCCAATTAGTTGTTTATCTTATCACATGTTTACCTTTTGCAATGTATTTAGTTTATTCAACTGTTTCAAGGCAAGAACTGAAATCTAATGTTCAAATGGCTGTTAATAAATTTTTATTAATCATTGTGTATACTTTGAGTAATATTAAGTTCAGTGTAACATTCTATATTTATGTGTTGGCAGCTCGTGTTTTTTTTCGAAAAGACTTAAAATGGTTATTAGTAGCAAATCGATTCTTTCGAATTTGTATTCGTATTCAACAGAATCGAATGATTAGAAGAATAGACAATCGTAGAATTGAAACAATCACAGTTGTGATGAACCGACTAACAATGCCTAACATTCAATTGTGAAAGTGTGAACTATTTTGTGTTTATTTCAGTGGCGTTTTTATTAAAAATAGAAATATTTCAATAAAGCATAATTAATCTAACATAAAAGATCATACACTTTTATTGTGAATAAAGAATTATTAGACTAAAACTTGAAACTAAGGAATTTAAATCTTTAGTTAGCTTTAGAAGTAAACTACTGATATGTACTATATTTGAATATATTATTTTATTTTTAATTAGAACTGTTAAACAAAGGAGATTCATGCACAAAATAATTTTGATAGAATTGTAAAAAGACCCGACAATGGAACTAATAAATCGTACTAATAAATACTATCAATATTCTACAAAGATTGAGATAGGATATGCAATAAAATTTTCAACACATGTAAATGTATAATAGTGTTGTCAAAGACTGAATGAAACTTTAAATCGATTGAACATATTATGTTATTCAAGACTATATCCCTTCTTTTAACCTTGGAAAATACTTTCGGATGAAGCGCAAAACACTTATATGGAGAAAACAACTTTGATGTAATAATCATTTATGACTTTAGACAGGTAAAACCTTAATCTATTTCATTTAGAAAATATTAATTAAGTGTCTTTAATCTTGATATTCATTCGTATCATTGAACTGAGTCTTTTGTTTGAATACTTTGCATTAAATATCATATTTTTCTCGGGCAGGTATTGATCTTCACATAATGACGTATCATTCAAGCTAATTATAGTCAATGCTCAATTTCTTAATCAAATCAAAATTGTGTGTCATAAGCACCTTTGATCTTCAACGTACATTATTCATACTCAATGCTTTTAAAAAAACTAGGTTATTGTTCATTTTCTTATAACCTTAAAGACATTTTATTGATCATTGTCACATAGCTAATTGTGGTATTATTTTCAGTTTAATAGATTTAGTAAACTAGCAGCATGTATCAGGTTAATGAAATAAACTGCTCTTTATTCTTTATATGAAAAATTAGGTTTTATTTCTGAACTTTCTTGAATTTTTCTTATTTCACTACTGAAAGATGTGTATAAAAATAAAGTCTGCTTATTCAAGAAGTTTCATATCTTGATCTACCTTCAAAGATTAATATTTGATATAATGCAGGATGATGTTGGCTACAATGGATCTTATCATGCATTCTATTCTGGTCATAGAATGTATTGAAGAAAAATATAAGTCTTTAGTCTGTTAACTATTGAACACTTATAAGAATTGAACAAGAATCTATAAAAAAGTTGTATTACTCTTCGAAGAAAAACATGTCAAATTCGTCTGTAATAGTTACATATCATTTGATTTACTGTTTACTCCGTTCGATGTTATCCGATTGAATATGTGTCGTTACTTATATCCAAATCGTTTAAGTTGTTGAAAGTATAAAATCAGTTCTCAATAGTTGAATTCTTATCCGACGAATCTAATTTAAAATTCATGTTCATGTTACATTCTTGCTTGAACTACTATTAATTTATTTATTAATAATATTACTATTTTTTCACAACTATGCGAACTCGAATATCGTACTGTTGCTGAAAGAAGAATAATATTCTTCTTTCTAGTTTCGGCCCTTTTATATGTCTTGTGTAAGAATCGACTTTTTATTGACGACATGTTTTTACTCGAATAAAACTTGCAAATACACTAGTCCCTTGTATTAGGCGTATTAGCTTGTGTAATAGTTCTGTTTCATATTCCAATAAATCTTTCTATCATCGATAGTAGAAATTTGATGTTTTTTCGACGTTCATTCTTACAAACCTGTTAGAAATAGAATTAATAATATCTTAAATTAAAACAATTAACATTTTTTATAAGTAACAGATTTTTATATGACTTTTTCCTCATGAATAAAATTATAGACTTCTTTGTGGCGATGATAGGCCAATGTGTCATAATATCAGTCACTGACATATAATTTAACAATATTGACGACACATTTGAGTAGAATTCTTCGTTCCAACAATGATGATTACCTTTTAATTTTTTAACTGTTCGAAAAGGTTAACCTAGTCAATAACGTCTCAATATTTTAGACTATTTGAATCAAATGCTTATTAATTAATAAAATGACAAAATTAATGTAAAATCTAGAATAAATAAAATATCAATCATGATATCTTTCCAATCAGATATTTACTTTATCACGTGTTTACTTTTCCCACAGCATCTAGTTCATTCAACCGTCACAATATCTTGAAGAAAACGATAAATGCCAAGATAAATGCTCAAATAGTTCATGATAATTTTTATTCATCTATTGCTTCATAAAACTACTCCAAGGCCACTTTTCTGTTCTGACTTGGATTGGCTGCCAGTCAAACGAGGTCAACTGATATTTCTTATTTTTCAAATCGATTAAGCTCTATGTCTAGATAATATAATACGAGTCTAGCTTCATATATTGACTTAATTTGTTTTCATAAATATTATACAAGAATAATTACTTTCAGAAAATATCGAATTTAAATCTCAACAAAATTCATTATGAATATTTTTCGTATAAAAAAAACTTGAATTATCGAAGTTTTTTTTTTTTTTATTATATCAGTGCCTTTTCACATAATCAATTTAAATTGTAGTTCATCAAGAAAATGAGAATAAAAAGAAGAAGAGAGTTTTGTATTTCAATTTAATAAAAGCATTGTTATTTCTTTTTTATGTTCGTTGAAATAAATGAAAGCTAACTATTTTCTTCTCATTTTTTTTTCATTAATTCAATCTTTTATGCTTAAAAACATTTCATCAATTGTATATGATATGATGAAAGCTGATAGACACAATTATCAGTTTGCAATGTCATCTTATAGTTCACATCCATTACAAAGAAAACTCATATTACATCGCACGTAGATAAGCATATCAGCCTTGAGAGACTGTGACAATTTTATATGCATAAAGCAAGTCAAAGTGAGTTTCCAAAGATCAATCTATTTTGGAAGGCTGGCTTTGTAGTTAAAAGCCGCTTGCCAAACTGCAAGTCAGGTGAACAGTACTGACTCAGATAATAAATTTTCACTATGACTAGTTCATGTTTAGTCTCATCATTGTTTCCATAAACATGAATACATTCATTCTATTAGACAATTAACTGTAATTAATGTTTATCATCTACGATAGCATAATATATAATTCATCACGAATATGAATCAATCATTTAAAGTTCGAAAAGACAAAAAAATGTTACAATAAAAATTTTCACGCAAAGATAATCGATGAAGTTTTGTTTTTTTTTCCCTGTTATTTAACAGGCAGTTCTTAATAGCATCTACTGCCAATCACAAAAAACATGAATAGCATTGCACACAAAAAGAAAGACTATACGTGGACGCAAATAGACGAAACAAACACGTCAAGTGGTCAGTTATATAAATAATATAATTTAATTACATGTACTAACATGACTACGTTTTCGATGAGTATGATGATGAAGACCATTTGATGTATTGCCATGATTTGGTGGTGATAAAGAACCATTTCTAGTCGATTTGTCATGTGATTCTTTTCGTACATAAATCGGTATTTTTGGATTAATGAATGTATTGAGAAGAATGAGAAAAGCACGAGATGGTAATATACCTTTCACTAATGGTATTAAATAATAGAAACGTGGTACACAAACCCATTTTCGATTTATCTAAATAGAATACATATAAACATAAACATAAACACCGCAAGTACAAATGTACGAACCAAGATTGCATGCATAATTTTCTTTGCTGCATAATCAATTGTAAGTGGTGGAACCAATGGATTAAAACGTGTTTTAGCCAGTTGATATAAGTTTGTCGAGAGATAATGAGATACTGCTGAAGTGGTATATATACCATCATAGCCTCCTATATTAAGCATAAGATGTTACTTTAATAATAAAAAAAAGTTTCTTTTACCTAAAGTTAATTCATGATCAAGACTTTCCATAAGACCAACAAGACCAAATTTAGATGTACAAATATCTGAAAAATTCCCCAGACCAAATACAGCTGTTGTACCAAGCATTGTTACAATATGTCCATGATTATGTGTCATCATTGATGGAAGAATTTGACGAATCAACTAAAATATATGCATACATCTTAAGTATTCATTATTATTTAATAGCTATTATTCGCGTAGATAAAACACAAAAGAAAACAAATTATGTAAAAGCAAAGTAGATAGTCGTCTGATTTTCTAATATATAAAGTGTGTACATTATCAAACGAAATATAGTTCAGGTCGATTAAAGTAAAAATAATGTAATTATATATATATTAATTAAACCTTCAACTCAATGATATTTGATTGAATACTGATTTATATGATTTGATCGTTGATAGGACTATTTTTTCTATATTCGTGGTTTGTATCCATTAATAAATAGTAAAATTGATGTCAGAAATGAAGACAAGAATTTATTGCTACTGCACAAAATGAGCTAAATAATCATATAATGGATCATTTACGTCATTTCGGAAATCTCCTTTATATATATATAATTCGATATCTTCAGTGTCAATATATGAGCTATATTATAATAGTGTCACACAAAAAATACTGGGTTATTAATGATTGCATGATGTTCGCAAATATTTATGCTTTCGATTTATTTCAATAATGCGTAAAGATTCTATCATCTTTTCTTATAAAAAAAAAGAAAGATCTCTGGCATCGAAAAATTCAAGTTTTCAAATGGATCAACCATTCCGATTGCATCAAATATAAGAAATGATCAATTATCTTTAAACAAAAAAAAAAAATTTCTTACTCTCACAAATATTCTATCTGTCTAAACTAAAGAAAACTATATACCCAATATGCTGCAAATAGATTAACATTTAAACATCGTGAATATTCTTCTTCAGTCGTATCCAAAATAGATTTTGATGATAAAATAGCCGCTTAAAATAAACACATAAAGTATACTCATACAAATATTTTAGTTACAATAAAAACAAACAAACCATTATTGATCAACATCGTTATATCACCAACATCTTTCTGAATGTTTTCTACAAGTTGATGTACTTCATCTCGATTTCCAATATCACATTTATATGAAAATACACGATTTTCATTATTAGTTGTTAATGCTAGTTCTTTTGCTATTAATTCAGCTGTGTGGGCATTGCCATTTTCATCAATATCACATAAAACAACAATAGCACCTCGTTTAGCAAATAAAAGTGCCATTTGTTGACCTAATTAATAGAATAATTGATCATTTAAAAACAAAAATCAAAACCTAGTAATATTTGTTTTACCTAAACCTTTTCCAGATCCTGTTATAAGTACAATTTCATTTCGAATATTTTTTTCTGTTGTTGAAAAAATATAATGACTGGCAGCTTGTATAATAGCATGAACGATTTCAATAATTATTCCAATAAAATACTTAAGATTTTTAACGTGAGACCACATTTTCTTATTCAAAAAACATCTAAAAGTTGAGTATCAAGATTATTAATTTCCCAAAAGAAAACAATTAGCCAAAAAAAAAAATTATACAGTATATTTATCACAGGAAAAAAAAGAGCGGTACCTGTAAAAACTGCGGATACCCATGATTACTTTTGTTTTTACTGATACAATGTGTTTGAAAAATGAATATTAATGTAGTAAAGGATAAATTTTAGGGTTGACACAAAAACTACTGACTATACGGACATTCATGGTTACCTTTGTTTTAATTTAAATGATAATGATAATTACCTTTGATACTTATTTGTAAAAGATATTGTATAAATAAAAATCAAAGTAACTATGGATGGCCGTATAATATTCGTTTTGAATTCTATCTTTTCTGTTTGTAGCTTTGATAGTGTCCGTATTTTTTACAAGTACCAAAAAAAAACGAAGTTCAATTTTTATTCAATCATCACCGGTGAACGACAAAGTGGACATGTATTATATTCACTATTACATAACCAATTAAATAAACATTTTCGATGAAAATGATGAAGACATGGTAATGTACATATATAAACATTATTAAAATATTTTTCAAGACATATTGAACATTGATAAATTTCACTGCTATTCATTTCATTCTGAAATGAATTTAAAGAATTATTGTTTTCATCAGTTTCACTTGTGTAAAAATGATCTTGTTGAGATATAGAAGCAACATTCGTTATACGTCGATGTATAAAGGATTTTTTTAATGTACAATCTTGTTCATTTACATTATTAGATGGTTCTAATTCTATATCAGAATAATATTCACTTGTACCATGTGTTGCTTTTCGTCGTCGAATTGTAAAACGCCAGATTGGAAGATGTTTAAAATCAATGGTTCGATTAGTTGATATATTTACATTTGGATTTATTGTTAATAATGAATACTGATTTAACCAAAGACTATCCTGAGAAAAATATTGCAATAAAGTATTATTAGTATGTTCATTTGATCCTTGATCTGAAAATAAAATGCATAAAACGAATTGCCAAACTTTTGAACATAAAGCATGTGTTTGATCAATCATTATAACATCATGTGGTATCTAAAATTAAACATGATTATTATTAACTCATCAGTAGAATTATGATAAAATGATATGTTTGATATACAGAAAGAAAAAAAAAAGAATTTTTAATAGTGTTTTCTTTGAAAAATGTACAATAATATTCTAATAGAAAAATACTCATCTATACGAACAAAGAATAGACATATTCATATATTTAATACATTATTATAATAGTAGAATTTATCATAGAAAATTGTAACAACAATGAATGATGAACTTCACTTCTTTTTTTTCTGCTTGGCAATGACGAGATGATATGTCAGCAAAAGGCTAAAGTCCATATCAAATGAGCAGTAAAACCTGGATGTCCCAACGAATAGTAAAGATAAGGACACGCATATTCGGTCATATAAAGTGGCTATTCAATAGGAATTTACTTTTTTTTTACCAAGAAGAAAAGCGATTGAAATAAAAGAATTCAAGAAAAGAAAGAACGCTCAGATTTGCAAAACGAGAAAAATCTAATGAAAAATGTATTAATATTGTATAGAAATAATTCTTTTTTTATTTGAGCTATGGGGTCATAGACGGGTGTCTCGAGAGGATAACCCGTCAATCATGAAAAATTTTCATTTTTCTACAGCAAAGTTTCAATGTTTTATTATTTTTTCTGTCCATTGATTCTCAATAAATGTTCAAACTCCTCGCCTACAAAATTCTGTCAATTCTAGCAAAAACTGCTCCTATTGACCTCATGAGTCATCAAATTTCTCCAATCCTGACTACTTTAGACCTTTCCTGAGGATATCTATAAACAGCGTCCAAATACAAATAGCATTTTTGATCTCATTTTCTTTTTTTTCTACGCACGCCCAGTTTTTGAAATTTTTTTCAGAAGAAGCCTAGTTGCTCAAATATACTGCTCTTTTTTAAATTAAACGACCAATACATGTTATTTATTCATAGATGATGCATCTTGGAATTCTTAGAGGTTATTCTTTTGAAAATGTTGATAAAAACATATTTATTGTAAACGTTTTGTGAAAAACAATAAAAATAATCTTAGTAAGTAATCGTATGTCCAGATATGTCTAGACACTCACCTCTCCCTGTTTGTATTTTACTGATAACTTCTATACTATTTTATAAAGAAAATTTTCTGATTCTATTCTTTAAATTGACTTTTGAGTATCAATACTATTTAACTACGATTATCTTTTATTAAATAAAATTTTACAATTGATTGTGCACTTGGAACTTATTTAATAGATAGCATTTTAGATGCTTATCAATGTCGATACTAGTCTCTCATAGCAATCAAAATTATAACAAATGATTAGTACATATATTTCAAGATTCAAAAAACAACTACATCTTTAAATTTTACTGCTATTTAAACATGACTATAAGTATGCAATGAACTTCTTTGGTATCACTGTTTGAATAAAATGATTTGAAAAACTTACGAAATTCACTAATATATAAATATAGAACATTTAACAAAACGTAAACAGTATATTTCATTAACTTTTATGCATCAAGGTGATAGAAAAAAAAAGCTATTTTGAAATGTATAAGAAAGCAAAAATTTATATTTTTAAAAACAAATCAGACTTATATTCATTTGTTTATTAACTTACATCATATGTCATTAATCCAAATTTTTCTTTTAAATACCATCTAAAACATAGACCTATTCCAAAATGTAATATAATCATAATTGAATATAAAATCCATTTCGATATGATTGAATACATAAACAAATCATTTCTAATAAGCATTAAAATTTTTGAATTTTGAGAAAATTTTATTAAATAAAATGATATCATTTGTAAAACATAATCAATTGTATTTGTTGATATATAATTTAAACATAATAACCATAAAAATCCAGATATAATATTAATTATTAAAATTTTTTTAAATAATAATAATAATGATTGTACTAAATAAATATCATACAGAAAATAAATATTTAATATAATAAAATAAATATATATTAATGTTTGAATATTTATTGTTAAACATGATAGAAATATATTTAATGAACGATATGAATATAATTCATAATAATTATTATATGAATTATTTTTATTATTATAAATATATGTATCTAATGTTGAATTTTGAAAAGAATATTTTATTTGAAAATTTTTATTTTCTTGAAAATTTAAACGAAAATTAATAATAGCACCATAACGATATAATAAAGTAAAATAATAAATTGGTATATTTGATGAATATGAATTCGATGTTATTTGAAATTCTAATACTGATCGATTTTTTATTGATAGTTCATACCAATCAAAATTTTTATTCATATGATTTTCTAATGTTTTACTTAACCATTTTAATATATATTGATAATTGTAGTGTTTTATTGAAACAATATTATAGAAATAAATATTAATTGAACGTCGATTTATTGTTGGAACAAGTAAAATAAATCGTTCAGTATCTAATGTTCGACATAAATTAGAATATTCATTATCTGAACAATTTAATATTCCTGTTTGAATATTAAATAATGATAAACGACGTTCAATTATTTGCCATTTATCTGAAGAAAGATAAATTAATGATTGACGATGTTGTTTATTAGGTACAAGATGAATAAACCTAGTTTTTAATAGAGAAAAATTTTCAAGGTAATCAATAATTATTTCTTTACCAGATAGTATCTTTACAATCATCAACAAAATCAAGTAATTGTTTATATGATGAAAATATTGTTGGTTGACGTTTCGTATGATCTTCAACAGGTTCAGACAATTCACTTTTTCGAACAGAACCTAGAAATAAATCGAAAATATTAAATTGTTGATAATGAAATTGATCTCTCAATTTTCTTCGTTAAAAAGACTAACAATCAAGAAATTCATATGCATTTGTACGAGATATAAACTTTCAAATTGACGAGAACATTAAGCAATTTATTTAACTCGGCAAACGTTATACATTTGATAGACTATCAAAGAACAATTTGTGTGCTTCTACAACTGTCTATATTCTACGGGCATTTTTATTTCTTAACAATGAAGACTCAATTGAATGTGATGTAACATGATAAAAAAGATAGAGTTCACAACTTTTCCAACAGCTTTAATTGGCATGTTATATAGGTAGGCGTTTCTGAAAATAAAAATGATGAATGCTTAATTTGGTGTACACAAATCAACTCTATTTTCACAATCAAATTTCCTATTTGCAAAAATTTGACTATTAAACTCCTCGTATTTCCAAATTTTTCATAAAAACTATTGTCTAAAATGATATACCACTAGTCTATCAAGATTTCTATTCATTCTTAATAATCAAACGAAAAAAGCGAATATTATTTAAAGATCGCAATTAGTTTGAAGAAATTGTCAACTATATCGACATTCATACTTATAACATAAAAAAACAACGACAACATATGAAAAGACTAAGACATCAGCTGAAAAAGCAATATTAGCTCAAACATTATCTTTAGTCAACAAATAACTACAGCTTGCTGATATCGGTACCTATATAGATAAGATAGTACTTTCAAACACTAACATCATATTAACAACTGCAAAGAAATCGTATCTATTCTAAATTTACGTATTCTAAAAGTTTTTCAATCATCAATTAATGCTTTCTTCCCTCTCTTAATAATATTCACCTGTCTGTTCAACCATTTTAATTAAATCATATTTTTCATTAATATTTACATATGTTATACCCCGTAGATTAAGAATATGTTGCAATTGTTTAATATTTAATTGATTACTAGATACAATTTGTTGAGAAAATAAATTATTTGTTGATACACGAAAATAATATTGATATAAATCATATACACGATTGATAAAAAAAAATGAAATAAAATACAGACAAACGAATATATAACGACCAATCATCTAAAGCAAAAAAATTGAAAATAAAAACCAAAGACAAATGATTTGTTGTTTTCTCAAATGAATTTTATATACATTAGAAATATTTTTTTCAGTAAAGAATAGAAAAAAAAAAGAAAAACAAACCAGGTCACAGAAAAAAAAAACGAAAAGAAAAACAGACATTGGAGTGTAAGAGACAGAGATTGTATGACAAAGGAAATAATGTACAATCATGTTTGTTGAGCAACCATTAAAAAAAAATGAGAAACAAAAGAAAACTTGATTTATCTTTGCTTTTTTTTTTCTGAATTGTGCTTTTGCTTTATATTTTATTTTTTTTCCAAAAAGAAATGACAAAATATAGAAATTATCAGAGATCAGAATCATCATACATCAATGTGTGAAATTAGAAGACTAGACAAAAAAAGAAAAACAAAACCAAAAAAAAAATAGTAGCAAGAAGACTTTCACTGTGATCATGCAAGAACTTGTTAACGTTAGGCACTTATGATTATTATTATTTTATTTTGTTGTTGTTTTTAGTTATATATCATTCTCATTAGATTTGATTAAGATAATTTAGCGACAAATAATAAATGTTTTCGTTGAATTTGCTGATCATGTAGTATAGACCATCGATCATCATCAATACTATATATTTGTATAATCCAATGATGATCTTTATTTATAGATTTTTTATCTTGTGATATTGATAAAGATTCTTTTTCTGTATCAGTTAAATTTGATAAACATACTAAACCACTGACAATAAGACGTCGATCAACAAGTACACATTGACAATAGTCTATATATGAATATGGCATTGATTGTTTTAATAATATTTCATTGCGTACTAAATTAAAACGATAGATTTGTTTTGATTGCCAATAAACAAGATAAAGATCATCATCATGTGTTACAAGTGAAAATCGACCAATATTATTATTACGTGGTAACATATAATAACCAGCTGATGTTAAACATGGATCATTTACAACAGCGTTATCTATCGATGGAGTCTATAAAAGAAATTAGATAAAATAGTATTTATAAAGAATTTTAGTAATTATTGGATAAATATGAACATAAAGATTTGTTTTTTGAAATTGTAACTCACGTTTAAAATCTATTAGATGATGTTATATACTATGATTTGAATATAAATAATAAATCTTCATAAGCAACTCTTGCCATCTATTTCGTGAAGATAAAACAGTGATGATAAACGATTTACTAGATTGACATAGAACTTCAAGTTTTTTCATCAAAAGCAGAAAAATCATTGAAAACATTTATTTGCAATACTCTCATGTCTTATGATAGGGATGATTAAAGTTTTGACAAGTTCTTCATCTTCTTAGATTCATAGAATGTGTATCAATGATTATTAATATGTTTGAAATTGCATACCTATTTGATATTAGTAACTTTGGGTAATTATTACATTCTTAGAACACTAACAATTGAAGAAAGAACAAAAATATACATAAATTTTGACATAGAAACCTCACTTCTTACATAAGTTAATAAAAAAAAAAAAACATTGATTCATTGAAAAGTAAGTCATTCTGATGTTATACAATTGTCAACATATTTTATGGTAAAATTATTCAAAGGAGACTTTTCTTTAAACATAATTTGATCAGGAAAATAGTCTTCATTATGATTAAAAAAAAATTCTAACTTACTCTTGAAAGTTGTTTCTTATCTTTTATTGTTGTTGAAACCGATGATGCTAATTCATCATTAGATGTATTCATTTTAATAGTCTGTCCATTACTAAATTCATCAGATTGTTGCATTCTCAATTTATACGTATGTAACATTTGTGTATCATTTTTATTTGATAATAATAACCATTGTCCCGTTGCAACGATTGGTTCACATTGATATGAAGGTACACTTTCACCAAGACATGTCCATGTTTCATTTACTAAATCAAACATATCAACTGAACGATATGGACTTGATGATGATGATGATGATGATGATGAATTTGTGATACCAAAAAATAGTAAAACAAAATTATGAAAGAGAACACATGTATGTTGACCACGTGGATTTGGTAAATGTATAGAAGACATTTGCCATTTAAGTGTTGATAATGAAAACATCCAAATACGATCACTTAATTCACCAGAACGTAATTGTCCACCAAACAAATACAATGTTGTATTTGTTGATACACATGATACATGAGAAAAAAGTTCTGGTAAACCACCAAGAAAACGCCAACGTTGTCGAAAAAAATCATAAGCATATAAAAGACAATGTGAAGATGATAAGCGACAGTCAGGTGACGGAGAACGATTATGATGATGATGAAAGTTTAAAGAATAATCACAATGATTTGAATCAAGATGACTTTGAATAGAAAGAAAAACAAAAAGGAATTATTGAAATTATATACCTAATGAAGAGCATAGATTTTATAACAGAGGAATAGAATTTTCTTGACAGAAAACTATGAATTATTGTCTGAATTTCATATTGTAAATTACATTGATACAGAGTATTCTATTCTAAAAGGTGATTGAAAAGTAATGAAATAAGATGTTCAGTCATTTTTCAGACTTTATAGTTTGATTTTCGAGCCTTTCGAAGGTTAACTCAAAATTTTTAAACCAAAAATTCTACAGAAACTTTTAAGCCATATGAAAAAACAACACAAACTTCTTATTCTAACCCATTATTTTCAAATTTCTGCAGGCTTTTTAATAAGGCTGAAAAATTAATGAACACTTTATTTAATTATTTTTCCATTACCTGTTATCACGTTACGAGAAAAAATATTATCGTAATTTTTTTTCAATTATTAAAATCCTATAACAAGTAAAGATATTGTGAATCGTTGAATATAATCATTTATGTGCAGTATATTTTATTGCAATACTTAATAATTTGTAAGAAAAAATATTTGGTGTATGAATTAGATCACTTTTTCAATTGCACTGTAATAGAGTAAGTTTTTTCTTACATGTTTATAAATAACAAAATTCTGTATAGTTTCTTTTTAAGTCACTATAAAAACTTATTAAACATCTTTTTATGAATGCAGATTTAGAATGTTGAATTGAGACTTTCTATGAAATTTTTGTTACCATCTTAATAATAGACGACACAGAAATTGTAGAGATAATTTCATTCATCAAAGTGATCTAATTCATTGATTAAGCTCTGTCTTTACAAATTGTGAATCATAAAATTCTAATATACACTATATATTTCAGTACATTCGCATATTTTAAATAGTTTTTTTCTTCGTTTGAAAGATTATCTATATGTATATAAGGAAAAAATTCTTATCGAATAAACAATTGAGACAATAATAAAATGCTTCGAAAAATGTAACTATAATTTTGTTATAGGTTTATTTTCTCTGCTACTCATTATGAATAAAAACTTATGATTTAAATTTAAATTCTCGTTCTAACAAATTAAGTTTAATTGGATACAAATTTCACTATAGTAAACAACTTTTGAAACATTTTCATATTAGACACAATAAAATGTATTGATAATTTGAAAAAAAAACATTCTTTGATTATGAATAGTCTCATTTTTACAATTAACATTATAAAATATTATTTTTCATATTTCCAAGTGAATTCTTTCACTTTTTATCATAATATGTATATTGTTTTTCTTTCGTATGATATTTAAATATTCTTACAGAAGTTTTTCAGTATTTACAGGTTAACATATCCTAAGTGCAACAAAATAAACATTAATTTTGTACTCTTGAAAAATAAAACGATGATTCCTATTGTTTTTGTCTAAAGAATATTTTCATATGTCTTTCATATTCATTCACTCGTAAACAATTTAGTTCTTAGGCTATTATTCAACTACATAGAAAACTTCTTTTTTTTTTTTTTTCTTAAATATACTTTTGATTTGAGACATGATTTATGGTTGTTGTTGTTGTTGCTGTTGCTGTATCATTAATTTGTAAATGAGTAGAAAAATTTTGATAAAATGCTACAATTGATTCATCGGGTTCTTTTGTATTCGTCGATTGTTCATTTTGATCTTGTTCATCATCATCATTTTCATCGTCACTCGAAGGTAATTCAATCACAATTAAATGATATCTGATCTGAGTACTTGGTCTTAGAAATAAAACAAAAACACACACACACACACATCATAAATTATTACACATATATGTAGAAAAAAAAGATACTGAAATACCTTATTGGACCAAGTAAATCCGGAATAAAATTGTTTGAATAAAAATCTTTTAATGTACGTAAACAAGCGGTATATTTTTGTACTAATTTTTCATTACGCATTGAATTAGTAACAAAATCACTATCACTTATTGAATTTAAACGTATAAATTTAAATAAACTTTGAAAATATTGTTCACGTTCAATTGGACGATAATTAACCCATTGTACAATAGTTAAAAAAACATATTCTTCTTTTGGTATATCTAAATTATCATCAGATAAAACTTCCATTAATGTATGTTCATTTAAATGAACAAATAAATTTTTTTCATATAAACACATAAAATGATCAACTATATATTGTAATGTTGTACGACGTAGATTATCTAATGAATATAATGTTGCTAATTGTTCTATTTGTATACAATTATATATATCCATTTGTAAATACAGAAATTTAATAAGTAAATCAGTTAATTCTTTTATTGATAACATAACACTTGCATTAAACATTTCAAATAAATTATCATATGTTATATCTGTATGACCTGTATAAATAAATTCCAGTATTCGTTTCATTGTCCATGGTGTTATATCTTGTATACGAACATTGCCTTCTGTTGATTCACGAAAATTATATGAAAACATCGCACGAAAGTATGGTGATGCAGCAGCTAATATTAAACGATGACAAGCAAACGGAACACCATCAACATAAATAGTTACATCAGTAAATAAATCTGATAAACGAAATTGATTAATTGTTGAAAATAATGACGATGGATATTCAGAACAATTTATTGAATGACGTGCTTGATGATGTTGTTCAATTTGATTTGTTGTTAATGGTAGTGATATTAAAGTTGATAAATGAGAATGTTTTCCGGGGGGTGATATAGTTTTATTTTTTGGATTCGACATCTGAAAAAACAAAAAAAAAAACTATAGAATATTTGAAATGTGAAGAATGTTTTTGTTTGAAACTCTGTAGCAAAGCAGAAAAAAAAATTAGCCTAGTCAAATAAAAAAGAAGATCACTATTGGTTGAAGTGATGCCATTTTTAACGAATTGGTCAATATGCTAATAGCGACATCAACATAGTCGCATGAGAGAGAACGAACAATAGCGACAACGTGATTTTGTTTATATTCACCGCTAATAAAAATAGTTCGTGCTCATATTTCCAACAGATAATTATTCTTTTTTTAATAATCATATTCTTTCTTTTCTTCAAACAAAAAAAAATTTGTCGTAATATTTTTCTCATTATTTGATCTCCAACTACGAATGATTATTTTACTTTTCTTTTTAATCAAAATATAAAGAAAATAAAGTCTTTTATTATATGAAAGATCCTCTCAATACATATAAAATTGATTATTCTAACATATTTTTTGTTTTTCGTTTTTAATCAGTTATTATAAAAACAATAATTTCTTCCATTTGCTCTGATTCATTGATTCGTACTCTATACAAAGAATGAGTCATCATAAAATTTGTTCTTTCTTTCTTATATGTCTTGCATTCATTCATCGCCGTATTTTGCTGTTTGACAACGTATATAATGAAGTAAAAAGTATGCATCAGACTCATACTTACTTTCCTCTGATCGTCTCAGTGATCAATAATACTGAACATCCAGGACGAGGTTTTGGCATTGCACTTCGCCATAAACTAAATCCTGCTTTCGCTCCACATCGGGGCGAAGAGAGAGGTCAATTTGTTAGCAGCGTCTCTGCGTTCGCGCTCAGACCGTTCTATAAAATAAGAAAAAAAAAAAAGAGAAAAGAAAACTTACTTATTAAATTGTAAAATACTAGTATAATACAAGAATGCGAAGTGAAAAAAAAAAGAAAGTCATTATTCTTTTTTGTCACTTGAACTCGGCAGGGATTTTATTTTATCGATAGAACTTTTCAATCATTTCTTGTTTAACATCATGACAACAAAACAGTATGATAAATTAAATACAAAAAATGATATTAGATCTTCTTCTCTTCCACCAGCTTTATATAAAATACAATATCCAAATTGTCGGACTGGAATGTTTAGTCTTCGTGCACCATTTAAAAATTTTCATATAGATGACAATGAACAACAAATATCTATACGTAGTTCTACTCCTAATACTGCACATCCAGAATATTTACATGTTGATCAATGTAAATTTTTCTTTGTCTTTTTGATTCATTCGAATTTCTCAATAGAATCTCTTTTAGTAAATCAACAAGAATTATCTATCATTCGTCAATCATTACAACGAGATGCTCAAGTTCAATGTTCGCTTGGTTCTTCTGATAGTCATGATGGATTAGATTTACGAAGACAAAAAGTATTTGTAACAGATTCATACGATAGTGGGTATTTTAGTCCTCGTTATCGTGTTCAATTACAATTACGACCAACACAACCGAATATTTATGAAGTATGGAATGTTGAAACTCCACCACAACGATCAATTCCAATAAATGAACGAATTAAACGTCGAGAACCGTCGATACGTATTCGTTCACCACGTTTAGTTGATATAGAACCTTTGAGTGATGATGAATCTGATTATGATGATCATATAGTCTATACTGATTGTGCACGAAGGACATATTTACCAACAAACGTACGAATGGTATGCGTTAGACAAGACGCAAATACAATATGTTATTAAAATGAAAAAAAAGTTTTTTTTACTCTATATCAAATTTCATTAATGAGCAACAGTTGTTGTTATTGTTATTGTTATTAAAGAAACAAAAAAAAGTGAATATCTATCTAATAAGACACATAATATATTACAAAAAAAAAAACGTATCTAGTCTAATAAAATACATGACATTTTACCAATATCTTCAAGATATAAACGACACATAAGACGAGCATCAATTGCCTCAATACCTATACATGTAAATTGAAGTCGATCATGATTCTAAATAATATTATTTTTGTTTTGTTTTTAAACGTAGTTTTTTAAACTAAACTTACATTATAACGATTTGATTTAACACGAATAAGAAACATTTTTTCTTGTCCAGATATACTCATTATTTTTTGATAAGCTTTATCTTCATCATCTTTTGATTTTCCATAAGGAAATTGTTCAGGTGGACAACCAAATAAGATTTCACTTTCTTTTTCAAAAAAACTAACCCATTGATAACCAGTTGAATCTGATAAAAGAATCTAATAAACATAGAAGATATCTAGAATAAATCCAGTAAAATAAAAAAACCATAACTTACACTCGTCATATAAAGCAATTTATAATTTTCATAAGTTAAATCACATTTGGAACAATAATATGTTCCATCATTATTATCTTGTAATTTCTTTTTGCAATCAATACGAGTACAAGCCTATAAATAAAAGTCTTTTGTTTTTTGTTTTTGTAAAATATAAAATGTCATAATTTTACTTTATAAACAGGATCATGTCGTACAAATGTACATACAGCTTTTATTCGAAATATTTCACAATTACTAGCTGATGGCATATTTAATTCATATTTAGCTACTTGACTAAATGTTTTCCATGGAACTAGTTTAATTAGAATGAAGAAAAAAAAAATTAAACAAAGAATTCTTGTTTACTATTTTCATTTTTATTGGACTGAATGGTAAGATCTATCATATCAATATTCATTCCTTCTTCAAGATACCATTTACGAAGTTCATGAGCTAATGGCAAATCAGGATCAATTTGTAATTGTGTACTAGCAAGTACGGATAATGTTCGATCTTTAAATAAAGAGAAATTTTTTTTTTATTTGTTTAATTATATTAATAATAAATACCTCCATTGAAATCTTTTACACAAGCACCTTTTAACATGATTACCGTTCGAATAGCTGATTGTTGAAAGTTTTCAGCCTCAAAAAAAGTTGTTCATCGAAAATTTATTTTTCTTTTTGTTTGAATTTTTTACATACTGTTCGATACCATAGAGTAACTGGTATTTGACCAGTTCGATCAAGAATAAGAATTTCACGTTTTGTATAATCTTTATTTTGTTTACTTTTTCCATGAATAATGTCATTAATACTCATTACTATGCCAATAACATCTTAAAATTAAAAGAAAGAACTAAAGAATATTTTCAAGGTTCTTTAACAAACCAATAAATGAATTCGTTTCCATTACTTGTATTTGATTAATTGGAATAATATGCAAATGTTGCATCGGAATACTTGGTATATTATCTAGACATGGTTCAATAATTGTTTCATTATTGAAGGTCATTTCAAACTCATTGTTCAGAGTATTGAATTGTTTATTAGCATATTTGATTTGAGCTTGTGTAATATAATATATCTAAAAATTAGGATTTGTTTTAGGGGTTTTTGGAATTGAATTTTTCAAAAAAAAAAAAACAAAGAATAACATTGCCAACGATAAGAATTGGTTCAAGTCGGTCACAATCATCACCAAAACCAGTTGCACGTATTTCACTTGTTTCATCGACTAAACTACAACTAAATAATCGACCATCACCATTTGAGTATGTACGAATTGGTGTTTTATTTGCAACACGAACTTGGATTGTCCATCTATACAAATATCTGTTTTTTTCTTCTAAAATATTAGCAAAAAATTTTATTTTACCTATTTTGAAAAGGATTAAGTGTTTCAATTTTAAATAAACGATTATTTTTAATTGAATCAATATTTGTTATTGTTATTATTGATGATGGAGGAGGAAGTACAGGCAGTTCATTTCTTATTGGAGCTGTCGGATGTTTGAAAACTGAACCTATACGATAGATAATATGTAATTATTTAATACAAACAAGATATTTATAAGAAATCATTGAGTCTAAAATCTCATATAGCAACAAACAGCTTATATTAAGTTAAGTAGATTTTTCTCTCCAAGTTTATTTATTTATTAAATCTCGATCTGTAGACATTCACAAAAAAACCATTGCTTTAGTTTAGGTCTGATCAAGAGAGCGTTCGTTAGATTGGTTTCAGATCTGATCGAGTCAGAACAATTTGGATCCGACGAGTTCTATTTGAAGAAAAAAAGTAACTTTAAGAATCATTGATATTTACCAGTAACTTTTGGTTGTAGAACATCCTTATTAGTTGATGTTGTTATAGTATCATTTTCATTTAAATCAGCCGTTAATAATGAAATAGGATTTCCAATTCTGTGTGTAGCTATATCCAAAACAGTTATTTGGAGAATTTGTAAAATCATTCTATTAGAGTGTAAAATGTATTTCTCATAATAAGAATTCTATCGTAATACTTTGCTGTTTGCCCTTTAAGATCACTACGTAAATAACGATCAAGTCGAATAATCGAATATTCTTGTAATTGACCATTTGTTACTAAATCATTTAATTGTACAGTTAGAACACAAGCTGAAATATTTTGAAAATAAATATTAAGTTCTTTTCTTTTTTTTTTTTTATTAATCATTTATTTTAATTACAAGGTAAAAAATGTTTCCCATCAGAAAGAATAAGTCGATAACGTTGAGCTTTTTTATGTTGACTAGCTGTCATTGAAGATTCATTCACTGGTTTTGAATCCATTAATTTAATATTCTGAAATAACATTTTTATAATGAATCAAAGCAAAAATAAGTTTATTTTTTTGACAATTATATTTTACCAGCACTTGTAAGATAGGTTGTTCACCACCACAACTGTTCTTAGCAAATCGCTAGAAGAAACAAAAGTATGATAATGCGAGCATTTAAATTTCATATACCATTAAAGCACCAGTCGATAACTTTTGCATAATAGTTTTTAAAATTTCTGTAAGTGTTTCTTTTCTCACAATGTTTCAAATAGAAATCTAAAAAAAAATATTTGTTATACACATTGCTTACACAATATAAAGTGTACAAGAACTAAATTCTTCATAATTTAAAAAAAAACAAAAAAATTATGTTCGCATTTGCTATGGTTTAATGAGAAATATAAACTGATTCTTAGTACACTAATAAGTGTTACATATATGTTGTGATTTTGCCATCAGACGTGTTTACAAGAAAATGAAACAACATGAACACCAGAGACCGAGTTAGTCCATGACTTTTAGAGGGCAGAATTTATTTAATCACAGATAAACTCTAGTTTATGTAACAAACAAAAGGTTGAATATAATATTACATACAAATGGTAAGCATCTAGTATTCAAAATGTAGACTTTTTGAGTACAATGTACATAGTGAATTCTTTTTCTTCTGATCAACATATAAAATAGTATGTATTTCAGAAGTACAAGATATTCTGTACATATGACTTCGATTTACTACACCTACTATTGGAAACACAGTTTTATAACGGTTATATTCATTTTGTACGAAATAAAATGAATCAACTAATAGGATATTATTGATATATTAAACGTAATTTGTTTTTCTAGAAACTATTCAAATTGAAGATATTTCAAAATCATAAAAATTAAGAATTAAATAATATTCAATAAGAGATATAATTTTTACATGAGAAAAAAAAATAATGTTCTGTTTTTAACGCCATCTATATTAGACTCATTGTTGATTGAATGTATTATAAATGTTTTTTTTATTCCAAGATTCTTTTCTTGCTACTTTAAATTTAAATTAGGTTTCTTTTGTACGACAAATATGAGACATTTCTCGGATTTTCCTGATGAAATTTTATGTAACATATTTGAATACTTAAGTCCATTTGATGCACTCAATTCTTTTATCAACCTTAATATTCGTTTCAATCGTTTATTAATTCCATTTAAACAACAGATTGATTTAACTTATTTATCGTATCAACAATTTATCAATTATATCAATATTCTTTTGCCTATAATAAGTAAAGATGAATCGTTATATTTTATGAAATTAGGCAATACACGAACTCCTGGTCAGATAGAATTATTTAATACATTGATGCATGATCAAATTCATCGTAATTATTTCAATTATATTAATAAAGTTCTTATTGAATCACCACGTTTAAATGAATTAATTAATTTTGTTGAAAAATTTCTTTTCTCTTTATCGAATTTAGTATCACTTTCAATTACAATTGATTATATACGTGATGAAGATTTTCAAAAATGGACACAATTAATTGTTCATTCTGTTCTTTCAATATCTACATTAGTCAAACTTTCCATTGAAATGCCTACTGGACTTGTTCTTTCACGTTTATCAAATACAATTATATTCAATTCTTTACTTGATGTAACATTAAATGTTACTCTTGTCACAGATTTACTGATCCTTATACAACATACTCCTAATATAGAAAATCTTTCTATACGTATCGGTTGGTGGACAAGTGGAGATCGAACTTTAGTAAAAATGCTTGATGAAATGCGTTTGAATAATGATCGAAAATCATTATTAAATAATTTAAAAAGTTTTCATTTAACTATTGATTCAATACTAACATTTCAATTCGAACATCTTGAACAAGTATTATATAGAATTCTGAATAATGAAACAACATATAGCTTTGGCTTTATATTACGACATTGTTTAAATCACAATAGTGAACTAACACAATTAATTGATGGTCAACGATGGAAAAATGTATTATCATCATATTCATCATTAAATCAATTTGATTTATTTATTCGAATAACTGGATGTCTTTCAAGAGAAGAAGAAAAAGACAAAATTAATTCATTTAAATCAGAATATTTTCTTAAAAAAAAATGGTGTTTTTCTTATTTT